CAGGTCAGCCCAGTCAGCTCACCTTCCTGGGGGACCTGTTGCGCTTGCGCTCCCTCATGTTCCCGCACGCATTTCCTTGCTTGATACGGCTAAGCTCGTTGGAAAGGGAGCGTGGCTGGAACCGGGCGTCTCCGATACGTGCGACGAGAGTGACGATGACGCCGAGGGCTCGCTGTCTGCACGCCTTTGTGGATGGTTGTTCTTGCGCTTGTCGGACGGGCGATGCGTCACTTTTTGTCCGCGCCATTGTGCCGGTGTTTGTTTCTTGTACAAAATAAGAGGGAGCGGAAGGGACTTCCAAAATTATGGCCCAGGCACTGTTGGGGTGTTGATAAGAGGCAGAGTGTAAGTGTGTGTGTGTGTGTGTGTGTGTGTGTGTGTGTGTGTGTGTGCGTGTGTGTGTGTGTGTGTATGTGTGTGTGTGTGTGAGTGAGGGGAGCGGAGGGGGAGGGTGGTGCATGCGTGTGTACATGTGTTCGTGTGTGTGCGTGTGTGAGCGTTTGTGTTGTTTGGTTCTGGCGTAACCATCATGAACAGCAAGCAAGTTCAACCCATCCATCCCTTTGCAGCATACCGCTTGTGGTTGTGGTGGCACTGTGGGAATTAGGGAAAATAAAGGCGTTGGACGCACAGCGCTGGGGAGACAACCGGTGTAGAGACGAGCAGTGCAACAGCAGGAAGAGGAGGAGGAGGAGGAGGAGGAGGAGGAGGAGGAGGAGGCAGTGCGGGAGAATGCACCTGTGTAGCACTGCAAGCTCGCCGAGTGCCCCCTCTCGACGATGCACACTCGTCGAGTTGGGGTGCGGACAACCGATAACTGGCAATATCTTCGGTAAATCGTCCACAACCAGCACAGGTTTGACTTGCCGCACTTCAACTGCACTGCTGCGCACGTTCTTCTGCTGTGGTTGTTGTGTCCATCTCGCACTTCGCACTTCGCACATCGCACATCGCATCGCACACGCAGGTGCATCACACGTCAGCCCTATCAGAGCGGTGACCGACTTGTGTGTCACATCACGTCCGCAACAAGATGGAGAAGTTGGACAGCATCGAGGGCCGGAGCGAGGAGATTATCATCTCCAAGCAAGAGGGCACCCAGCTGTTTGTCGCTGGCACTGAGGAGGAAGGCACTGGCGACTTTGTCGTCACGGAAGAGTGAGTGTGCGTGCGTGTACGTGTGCGTGCGTGTACGTGTGCGTGTACCTGTGTGCGCGCGCGCGTGTGTGTGTGCGTGTGCGTGTGTGTACGTGTGCGTACGTTGTGTGCTGATGTGTTTGTGTGTCTGCAGGCGTGCTTTCGCACCGCATCCCTCTTTCTCTCCCTCTCTGATGGCCAACAGAGGACGTGCTGGCCAGTGGCGATTTCTTCCCCACCCCACTCTCACGCGCTCGTGCTGTGACGCATGCACACGCCCCCATGCTACCACGCACGCGCCCATGTACTCACGCATCCACCCATCCACATGCACTCGCGCGCCTACACAACATAGGGACATGTACTGGTGGTGCCCAGCAAGGTCGACGGGGTACCTGCTGCACTATGACCAGCTTGTAGTGCATGCCATCTCGCGGGATACGGAGCGGTTCCAGCACCCTTGCATCTACATGCAGATTGAGCCTAGCTCCGACGCAGAGGGCGAAGACAACGACGCGGACGACGACGGCGATGCGCGGCCCATGGAGGTTCGGGTCGTCCTGGCATCTCCTGACCAACGTGAGTTGCTTTGGTTTGCTTTGCAAGCGTGCGTGATTTGTGCGTGTTTATGTGTGTATGTGTATGTGTGTGTGTGTGCGTGTGTATGTGTGTGTGTGTTTGTGTGTTTGTGTGTTTGTGTGTTTGTGTGTTTGTGTGTGTGTGTGTGTACGTGTGTGTACGTGTGTGTACGTGTGTGTGTACGTGTGTGTGTCGACCATGTGTTTCTGGGTGTGCTTGCGTTTGGCCACTCTTGCGGGAATATCCATCGCTTTGCCCCCACATCACATGCTCGTCTGTTGGCTCAACTCGCACCAATTCCCCCTCCTTCCCCACCCATTCCCTCCCCGCTCCTTCCCCCCTCTCCCATTCTCAGTGGAGGCGACGTACGAGGCCATGTGCCAGGGGCAGGAGCTGAATCCGTGCGAGGACGACAGCGATGACGAGGCTGAGGCCATGGGCAACCCCGGCGCCAACATCAGCGGCGGTGGCTGGGTGTTCTCGTCAAGCTTTGCGCAGGAGGGAGCGGATGGGCCCGAAGGCGATGGTGAAGGCGTGGCTATGACGGAGGAAGGGCGGGCAACCATGCAGCGGCTCATGGCTGCCATGCAGAGCACAGCGCACGCCGACAACGGCCGCGATGGTGATGCTGATGGTGGTGATGGTGGTGATGGTGTTGATGAGAGCGACATGTTTGCAGACGCAGAAGAGGACCAATAGGCGAACGCCAAGCCAAACAGTAGCTAGAACCTGTGTTCACGTATGTGTGTGTGTACGTTTGTGCACGTGTTTGTGTGGTTGTGCACGTTTGTGTACACGTGTGTGTGTTTGTGTGAGGTTGTGTGTTATTGTGAATGTGTGTGCATGCGGCCGTTCATGTGGTGATACCGTGCGCGTACCCCAGTTTTGTTTCACTTCTCTGGTTGAGCACAGTCTGCTTCGACGATACCATCATTGCACCATATCGTTTGTACTTGGGAGGGCGAACAAAGACAAAGACAAAGACGACGGAGACGAAAACAAAGCACGTGTGCATTGCACAGAATAGAGCACGGAACCATTGATGCCAACGTCGGTGTTTTTTGTCGTGCAATGGGTGAGGAGGGTGTGTCGGGTGTGTAGGTCTGGGGATTGGGGGGAGGGGGGTGTTGAAACAGAGCAGACTGGAGGAAGGGGAAGAAGCTATGCAGGGCACACCTGGGGATTCGCAACAACAACAAGCAACGGCCACTGCATGGAAGAGAGGAGAGCGAGAGGAGGCGTGTGAGGTTGGAAGGAAAGGGGGGGGGGGTTGCATGAGGTATCGATACAGCACGCTGCGTCGTGTGTGTGTGTATGTGTGTGTGTGTGTGTGTGTGTGTGTGTGTGTGTGTGTGTGTGTGTGTGTGTGTGTGTGTGCGCGTGTGCGTGTGTGTGTGTGTGTGT